TAAAAGAGGGGGGGGGGAGGGAGAGGTGGGAAGGAGGGAGAGGTTGGGTTTTCATTCATTTCGATACCACCTGAACCTAAGGCATTCGTCGAGCTGGAGATTGGGAACCGTGCTTTGAAAAACAGGGTGTCAGCTCAAAAAAATATTTCCAGGAGGCAAGGGGAGCGTCGTGGAACCCCTGAGGAGATGCTGACAAATTCGAGCTAAAAGGAGCTACCAGAGGTGATTGGGAGAACCTACGTGAGCCTGCGAGCAAGATGATCTTGGGAAGTGCAGCTAATATTGTCGGGGCAACTCTGAGTTGGAAGTTTTGCACGCTCGAGACTCCCCTACTCAATAATTTCAGCGAAATTAAGGTCCGTTAATGGGATTTTTCAGAAAACGTAAAGAAACTCGATAAATACCCCCATATATCAGATATGAACAACGGAAAGAATGAAACGATTTGAGGAGGGAGTGTGGTGATTGAAAATGGGAGATTAAATGGTAAATTGGTTGATGAAGAGGCAGGCGAGAGCACGAGGAGCTTATGACCGCCGACTACGGTGCTGTTAAATCTGAAGGGTAATAGGCTGTGGCACGGGAAAGGAGGCGGTTTTAATTATCAGAAAATCGTATAACTCCTCTAGAACCCCACGTAAATGCAAAATAGATCAAAATAAAGACGGAGAGAAGGATGCGATTCTGGGGAGTGACAGGGACACTCGCTGGAAGTGCCACCATGTCTTCTCCCTTCTCTCGGAAACTCAATTTCGGGTTTTTCCTGAGTTTTCTTGGAGAAATACGTCCATACTGTGGCTAATAAGGAGCTCCACAGACCATCGGACTGCGATAATCAAGTGAACAAAAGATGGTGGTGGAAGTTGGAACGCTATGAAGTGGAGCCGGTGGGGTGGAGACGAGGGAGGGTGGGAGAATCGACGAGTCTCATCGTCATTGCTCACCGCAAGATGAACTCGCGCTCAATTATGTTTCTTATTACGCTCAATGAAAAACAGGAAACGCATGAATTGAGCCTCCTCTCGACTGCTCCCAACAGTCTACACCAAGCTTTGCTACAACGAAACCCGGGAGTGGTGTGGAACCTCTAAGATTGACGCCAAGGAAGTCGCCACTTGGAGCAAAGATTGTGTGAAGCCTGTTCGAAAATGGAGACAGCCGTAACCTTTCAAGATGAGAAACCTGCATAGAACTATCAACTGATAAGCGTGAAATTGTTTTACTTGAAAGAACGTCCCAAAAGTCTTTGAAAAGTCTGCCAAGAAGTTGACGATGACTTCAAACTGCAGAACTTGCAAGATCTTCGTTTTTCGATGAAGTTTCCCGAGAAAAGGTATAAGATCCGCTTTGGTTAAATGGAGCAGGAAGCGGAAACTTTCCTTTTTCGAGAAATCATCCCGGCTTGTACTTTGAAAGGGCAATTTAATGTAATTTTGCAATTGACTATAACTAGTATAACTTTTTCGTCTCCTTCTCCTTAGGTTTGGTCCCGGATCCTTGCAGGGTCGGCTGTCCTTGTTAGCGATCTCCAATTCCTTCTGTCTACAGCAACTTCTGTCAATACCTCAGCTTGGACGAGGCCCTCCTCGATCATGTCCTGCCACCTTTCATATGCGACTCCTCGTGAAGGCTTTTCTTGAGCCTCGATTTCCCTCGTCTCCTTACCGGGATGATTCTGTGGTCTTCCCAATACGTGCCCGTACGATCGCAGACGGTGCTCTGGATGATACGAGCACGATTGATGCAGACAAATAGAAAGTTTTAGCAACGAAAACTAAGCAACAAGGTCGTCGTATAAGATGGTTTCGCCGCTACGACTACTCCTGAAGGAGAATACCCCGTTTACACATTTCGAATTGAGACAAAGGAAAGAAAAATGGCTCAATCATGATAGCTATAGGCATGGAGATGTGGGTTAGTCCTTTGTGCCCTAATACTTCCAACAGAAGCAAGTGTTACTAGGTTTCGAAAGGGAACTTTTCTTACAGACATTTTCCAAGTTTGGGTAACCATTGGTTTGATCCCGCAACAATTTTTGTTTGTTTTTTGAACGCTCATTTTCTATGGGATTACCGAGATAGAAAAGACTCCTCTCAAACGACAATACAAAAAAAATTTAATTTCTGTTTCCTCGACAACCATAGCTATAATATCGTTAGCAATGAATTTCCATGAAGTGGCCCATCAGTTACAAAAGAAAAGAGTTTTTTCTGCATCCGGAGCAATAAAAATGCAAATTTTCATGAAGACCGGGCTGAAGAGAAGTTAGGGAACTAATGTAGGGACATATTCACTTTCTCTATTTCCTCCAAAGATCGAATTCCATATCTGTTCTGCAACCCTGAGGTGCCTATATGACCATTTCATCATACCATTTCCGAAATGAAACGTTTGTCCTTAAGCATACATGGAAATGCGCTATGCATCTGATATGTTACCAATTTTCAATTTCCGCTTGATGGTTCATAGCCCTTCATGACATTTGGGAGACCCATAAGCATGCTTCCGATCATTGTCATCCTTGATTTTGATATGGGCTCACTTACAAAATAATGATCTTACACAAGCCATCTTTGAAAGTTCAAGTTTCCTATAGATAAGGTCGTCTGCAACGGAATGCAATCAACCGGAATGAGAAATTTCATGAGAATGACGAGTTGTGGGCAAGACTTGAGCCTCGAACGGCGCCCGTACTTGTGCTTGCCTTGCACTGTGCTCTTCTTTGTTTACACGACCTGTCAGTATCCCAGTCCTATAGCACGAATTCGAGTCCCGTCCGAGGCCGGAGTTTTGCCCGCAACTCGCCATTTTTGTGAGACTTTTGCATCGTTTACTGATGCGAAATAACAGCTATTCAACAAGAACATCAAGACAAGGAAAATAAAATGTTTCCTCAACGTCCTTATTTACAGTGTTGTTAAGAATGTAGGAAATGGTACTTTCAGTGGTGAATACTCCACCTGTGACCACCCTCCATGACCACCCTCCACCCTTCCATGTCGACTAACATAGCTGGACTTTTTTCCAACCTATCAACGACCGATTCTCCCTCCCTTCTTTCTCTGTCCTACGAGTAGGACAAATACGTCGAGAAAAAATACTACTAAAAGGTGGTGGCCTTCTCAGAAACTTTAAATTTGAAAAAAAGTCCTTTCTCAAAACAGCTGGTTATTAGGGAGCTCCAAGAAACGCAATATTATTCTTAATTTCATAAATTTTTTGGTGTACTTTATCCCATGAGAACTTCGCCTACACGTAATTAAGATGAGGGTTTTGCCTATAGAATGAGTTGGAGTAGTTGACAGATTATTCATTCTCAAATACTGCACCTGTTTCTAGACGTCATTAGGTTTCCGTAACCAGATATCGGCAATCAGAGTGGGAAACTCTCAGCGGAATCCCCAACCTCCATTAGGGGCATCGTAGATCATTTGTGGAAGAGGAATCAGAACAAATTCAAAGCGATAAGGAGTTCAAGAAGTTTAAAGGCAATACATGCGGCATGGAAAGGCCTTCTACAATGGCGTTGAAAACAGAAATGGTGTCAATTCCAGGGGAAAAACAGATTAAGAGGAATAGCAGGTGATTTTTGACAAGTCTCCCATGCACCTGCTTGGGCGTTCACCAGGCAACCTAAGTCATTTTTACTTGCCAATTCAAAAGTAAATGAAAAACGTTTCTCATTAGAAGTGAAATACGCAGTAAAGACAGTGAAGGTTTTCATGATCAGATAGGAGACCGCCTAGCACTTCTTTGAATTCGCAAGGGGAATGATAGGGTGCAGAAGGTGAAGCTGACTCGGACTTGTTGCAGAGCCATGAATGTGAAGATCGAGAATCAAAGGCATAGACAAGGAGGAACGCCCACAGAGCCAGACGAGACGATGTGGCGTCCTGAGGATGAGCTGAGAGCAGTTCTGACGAAGTGGCATAACAATCAGAAATTGTCGTTGCCAGTGGTGGAACTAAGAAGGGCAGGAAGCGAAGCAATAGCTGGAGTGCTCGGACAAGCCACCCCGGTTGTTGCCCTTGCAGAAGGATTGTCTATGAGGGCTGCAACGCCCACTTTCCGACACACCAGCGAATCAGGGTAACGCCTTTGTTGACCGAAAATGGCTTCCATGAAATTCTAATAATATGGAAGCAAATTGGAATCCCATCCGTCGATCTCTACCGTCAGTATTGGATCGAACACAGCTAGGTGAGTGGGATGGGTAGAACACTGGACTTGAGAATCAGGTCCATCCTTTGGCACTATGACACCAACAGAGAGACTCGCATCTGTTTCTTGTGGTAGGTAGGGAAGAGAATGATTAGAGTTTCCAAATGTGCCAAGGTTCATCCCTCTCATCCTCCATTCTTCCCTCAGTCTACCTCCTCTGGTCGACCTCCTACCATGGAAGGTTAGCAGATATGGGTAGGTTGACGATCGGTTCGGTGTTCCGTATCTTGTAGATGAATGCGAGATATCCCGACGACCCAGTCGTTTTCTGGACACGTAAGGAATGGAACTCAGGAAGCAGCTGACCACAGGAAACGGCTTTTTACACAAATGGACTGTGGCGGAGGTCCACTTGGCTAGGTTGGCTTGTCATAGTAGAGACTCGAATGGGGACTTTACTGGACTCATACAAGCTTCGCTAGCGTAATAAATAAGTTATTAGCCCACTGAATTTTTTGGGCGTAAGCTCTCATCTGATTATTCTGGCGAGCCACTTCAATGCGAACAGATGGGAAAATTTCACAAAATTTCTCATCAGTGCTTCATGAGTGAGAATTCGGTTTTTCTGTGGAGCTCCATGAACAGTTTTCACCACGCAACCGATTGGCTACTTCTATGACAGAAGCGGCAAAATCAGGAATACTGTTTATCACGCCGGGCAGGGGTAGTGTAGTGGCAAGTGGCGCACCATTACACGTCCATGATCACGGGTTCGAATCCGGGATCATGCCCTGGCCAACCAAGCCTTTTATCTCTCCGGGGTCCGTCACAGTTGGCACCAGACTTGTCTANCAAAATTTCTCATCAGTGCTTCATGAGTGAGAATTCGGTTTTTCTGTGGAGCTCCATGAACAGTTTTCACCACGCAACCGATTGGCTACTTCTATGACAGAAGCGGCAAAGGCATGAATACTGTTTATTACGCCGGGCAGGGGTAGTGTAGTGGCAAGTGGCGCACCATTACACTTCCATGATCACGGGTTCGAATCCGGGATCATGCCCTGGCCAACCAAGCCTTTTGTCTCTCCGGGGTCCGTCACAGTTGGCACCAGACTTGTCTAGGAGGATAAAAGCCTCGAGATGTACATCGGCTGGCTTAAGCAAGTCATTGTATAGGCCACATACGCATCTAAAACCCCACTGCGATTCTGATTGGGGATCATCCCCGCCTCAGACGGTCTTCACAACCCCCCAAAAGCTTTATGAAGACTTTAAAATTTCATTTATTACGCTCGAAGTTCGCGTTATTATGAAGTTCACATGGAACAAATGAAAGAGAAAGCGATTTCAAAGCGGAAAAGGAAAACGAGTGCTAATCTAGCCAAATCCAATTACTCGAGTATGAACAAAAACCTAGTGAAAAGAGTCTTTGACCACAGTTCAAGCGTAGACTTACTGGAAATCAAGCCAGCCGGAAAATTATCAAAAGTTTCGTCGGTGGTTGTCTGCGACCTAGTTATTCCTCTAGGGCATATAGGAAGGGGCATGATAGCGGTCCAAGAAGGTTGACCCAAATACCGAGACTGGGAAACTGAATTCGGTAAGAGACTTCTAATTTGAACTGACCGAAGTTGTAAACAGGTGTGGATGATCGCCGAATAACCTTTGGGGAGCAACTAAGAGCAGAACTAACCCAGCTCATGATGCCCTTCTCCACATTTGGGATGATGGGAGCGTTTATTGACCTGTTCGTTTTAATGCATCCATAGGCATGCTATAAAAAGCGATGTAATAAAAGAGCGATGAATCAAATCATAAAATGTCGGAAATAGGTCGAAAATAGGAAGAATCTGACAGGCAGAAGGGCAGTAGGCCTACCAGGGCATCGCAAAAAGGAAACGGTATCATGCAGTTCACAGGGACAGTAATTTGAGGTCCTTTACCTTAGAATTACATACAGGTGACATCATTGCGAATGTTCTCTGAACGCTTCTGT